CAACATTTCTAAAAGTAAAACTTATGCTGCTCGTGCTTACTTCGAAATAAATAAATAAACAGCTAACCAGCTAACTCTTCAGCTAACTCTTTCTTAAGTACTGCTTAAATTTTCATAGCAAGCACCCTACCCCCCACCACCGAACTTGTTAGCTAGAACCGAAAGGTCGAGGCGTTCTACTCTACAGAATCCGAGCTCCAAAGAAGTGGAGGGGCGGCCGAACTCCGAACCCGAAGACAGAAGTAATGCTGCGACGACCAGGGTCGACCATGGTCGATCATGGTTGGCGAATGAAAAGCACCCATGGTGTCTGAAATTAGATGAGAGTTAAATTTTAACATATTCAGGATTCAACATGAGGATTAGATGAGTTAATATGAGTTAGCGGACGCGCAAGCTCGGTATGAAAAATAAAGCGCTCAGCTAGGACGAGCGGCGGGGACGTCTGCTAGCTCATATTAACTCATCGAATCCTCATGTTGAGTCCTGAACATGTTAAAATTTAACTCTCATCTAATTTCAGACACCACAATAACCAATTTTAGCTAAAATAGTGAGCCGCCAGCAACCCATACACAGCCGTGGAGGGAGGGATGGATCGGTGGATGCAGGTGGATGGGTGCGGTTTGACGCACCCCCTGCATTTTTAATCCCATCCCTTCCCCGAGCCGCTCCACTTTTTCACCAACCTTTCCCTGCTTAGTTACTGGCCGCATTAACGCCGTTGCTCTCCTGCCAACATAGGCCTATAGGCCTCGGCAACGTTCTCAGAGAGTTTCCTCCAGTCTCTAGTGCAAGTTATCAGGTAAGTCGTGTCCTGCGGCCGTCTGATGTGTCTGGATTTATGGGTCATTGCTGCGAGTCGTGGGGAACAAAAGTGGCCAACTTTCATGTAGCTCTGCGGCCAAGGCCGGGGGCGCCGGGGCAAGGAGTTAGCAACATAACCTCCCAGGTTATACAGTTAAGCGCGGAAGATGCGGACTTCCGCGCGGCTCGGGCGGAACTTACGCACGCATGCGGAACTTTGCGGAACTTTGCTTATTTAGCCCAGAAACGGGTGAACACTTGTATTTTTGGAAAGGGGGAGGAGCAAGGAGTAATATTCTGCAAAAATTTGGTTAATTCAAAGGCAAAGAACGGTGCTGGGAAACTTATAACGACTGTTGGCCCTATTTGCCCGGTCTAGACTACAAGCGCGCTCTATCGACGGTGTCGAAACCTTGTATCAAAACAAAAACAAACCACTCATCGTTTAATGATTACTCTTTCTCTGATAAATTTTATTGACTTTATGATGGATGCGTTATTTGATGAGTTTTTGCACCACCTCGACCATTTTGTTCACATTTTAGAGGTTGAGTACGAGCTCATAGCTGAAATATTGTTAGGTAAGAAACATTGCACTCTGGATTTTCTATTTTGCATGTTTACTTTCAGAGGTTCAAACAAGACTTAACATTGAATTATAATTTATTGCAGATTTTGATGACGAGGAGTTGGATGAAAATGAAGAACTTCAAGGTAACATGGGTAATATGTATGGCCAATTAGCAGAACGTTTTGAGGCTGTGTTTGGCAACGTCTTACTTGAAGAGATGGCGTTCACTGAAGACGAGGAAGACTTAGTCCTAGATGTTTTTTGTACGTCCACATCTCTATGTCTCTTTTGCTTCTCTGACAGACTTTCTTAGCTGTGTGGAAACTATTTCTCATTGCCTTGGTGTGTTTTGCAGATGGTTGTAATGACAGGGTAATCGACTGGAGAGCAAGATTACCCCAAATGGAATACTTAAGAACCCTGGAAGATCCCTATTTTTTGAAGCACTTTCGTATGGACCGGGAAACATTTGAGGTAATTATTGTATTGCTTTCAGTAATGTCCGGCTTGAAAGAAGCTGATAGCTCAAATTTTTTAATGTTTTTTTCTTCTTACAGGTGCTGCTTGTCGTAATAGGCAACCACCTGGTTGATAATAATCAACTTATTCGGCTAAGAACTGAGATGGATAAGTGTATTTTGATGGTCCTCTGGATACTCTCAAATATGGACACTTTCCGTAGCACTGGTGTTACCTTTGGAGTATCTCCCGGAACTGTGCATTGTCACTACATTGTGGTGATCCAAGCCCTCAGGGAGTTAGCCACGAGGTACATCAAATGGCCATCACAAGAAGAACGCCGTAGAATGAAGGAGATGATGGAGCAACGGACTGGGTTTCCAGGTGTTGTGGGTTACATTGATGGGACTCTTATAAGAATTACCGCTCCAGAAATTCTTCCTTGAGAATGTCGATTGAAAGAGCATTTGGTAGACTGAAGGGGAAATTCCGGCGCCTAATAAAGCTGTACACTAAACGATATGTGTTCTGTTTGGACCATGTCATGGCCTGCTTCGTCCTTCACAATTTTATTATTTTAAGAGGAAGAGACATGGTGGGTATTCTATGAATATCTCAACACAGTACCTGTCCACTTTACTGCACTCTAACGTATTTTCCTCTCATTTAGGATGGTATTTGCATTATGCAGGCGATTGCTCCCAATCATGAAGTAGACATGGCAGTACTAGAAGAACATGATGAAGATGACTCTCAAGCTCACCCACAAGGAGTACCTGCACATGCTCAGCATCCCCTCCTAGCACAGTCGAAGGTAGCAGGTGTCAATAAAAGGGAAGTCATTGCTGATAATCTGTTCAATATTTTTAACGAATTGTAATAAGTTATTTTACTATCCTTCATTACTCTGTGATCTCAACTAATTTTAAATGGATACTGTTGACTTTTAATTGCCTGTAACTGTTACTATGTGTTCATTTAAAAAATGAATGTATTTACTGGGTTTGTAGCCCGCCCTTCTGCTTTGAAAAAGCTATCTAGTTTTAAATCATTTTTCAAATAACTGAAGTTGCAGGCGTTTAATTTGTATTAACTTTAGCTTCCACCAGACCATATCACTCACTCACAGGTAGCCAAAGAATATTTTTCTATGTTGTGTTGTGAAAGATACTTATGTTCTGATTAATCTGCAGAAAATTAATTGAGCTACATGTTTACATCCAATATTATTTACTTTCTAGTCTCTCTTTCTGTCAAAATTAAATTGTCACTTGTGAATATTGCACTTTTAAATCATTATTAATTCAGTTTTGATGTTTGGGTGAGTTAAAAATCAATAAATGCAGTAAATTGATTTACCTTAATGTGAAATTTTATTTCATACATCATTAAATTATCAGTCTTTATAACAATATGGCTTGTTTTCTTGACTTTTATTGTACTAGTTGTACTAGCACCTAAAATAAACACAATTATTCAAACGTAATTATTAAAATAAATGAGTACTTGAATTGAGAATTCTTAAATTAAACTCCAATTACCATTAAGCAATACGATTAGAGCAATACGATTAGAAAAACTAAAATCACAAAGGATCACATGTATTGATATAAGTTGCATCCATTAACATTGATGATAATTGGTAACAAATCTTTAAAAATACTAAGAAATAAATAAAAAGTTTTTGTACTTAAAAAGATGAGATTAGAACTAGGTTTGACTTGTTCAAGTTACTAAACATCACAGTTATGGTAATACTTTTGGAATTAGAATGTAACTAAAGCAAAATAATTTAACTATTCCTCAGTTCCTTTTTTAGCATTAATGAGTGCCATAGCTACAGTTGCAAGCTGTGACATGGTTTCTTTTCTATCCTCCGAAAGTTGCTTGAGGAAATCCATTTTCTCATCCTTAGCTGATTTTGCGGGCTGCCTCACTTTATTTATTTATTTATTTATTTATTTATTTATTTGGATACATAGGTCCCAGGAGCATTGAGCTCGTATGAAGAGACAATAAAATTTATAAAGAAAATAAGTTTAACAAGGCGGTATATTATTATAAATCAAGGAACTCTTGAAAATATAGAGTGCGTACTCTCTTCTTAAAGGCATTGATGGACAATTGACATATATTCAATGGGAGATCATTATAAAGCTTAACAGCAGCATTAAAAGATGCTTTAAGGCCATGTTTTGTGGTATTGCTTGAGGGTTGATGAATTCGAGAGGATGATCTGATGGAGTAATTGTGGACTTCTTTGTTAGTTGCAATAACAGAGTTAGCTGAGACCTTGCCAGTACTGAGCTTGTGAATATAAATTACTGAGGAGAGTTTGATCTGCACAGAGACAGGAAGGATATTAGAGGCTCTGTAAACTTCAATGGTTGATTCTCTGTAGTGCATATTAAAAATAAACTTTATAGCTCTTCGCTGAAGTACTTCTAGCTCAGTGATTTTGTCCTGAGAGCAATGTCCCCAAGCGCAGGCAAGGTACATAAGATGTGAATTGATAAGAGCAAAGTAGATGTTGCGCAAGATTGCTGGCCTAAGTCCAGTATATCTCAACCTACTCAGGATACCAATAGCAGGAGTCACTTTAGACTTGATGTTGTCAATTTGAACTCTCCAACTTAAAGTGGAGTCAAGGTGTAGTCCCAGATATACAGCACTTTGGCATCTCTCAATGGCTGTATTATTGCAATTAACTTTGTTGTCAGATGACACAACATATCGTGGAGAATGGAAGAAGAGATATTTCGTTTTATCTAAGTTAATAATAAGTCTGTTGTTGTTGAGCCACTCATCAATAGTAAGAAGGTCTTGATTAATACTGTCCATTATTTCCTGTTCAGTGGCTCCTTTATAAATTAATAGTATGTCATCTGCATATAACATGAGGTGGCCATTTAGAGTTATTTCAGATATATCGTTTATAAAGATGATAAATAATAATGGTCCAAGTACTGAGCCCTGAGGCACACCAACTTTTATAACCTGGAGACTGCTAGATACTGAACTAATGGACACATATTGATGTCTGTTAGACAAGTAGGAGTTTAGCCATTTATGAGCTGGTCCTCTTTTCCCCACCTGACGTTACTGCTGGTGCTTGAACCTGCATGGATGTGTGGGTTAGTGGTCTGTGCCACTGCCACCCCAGCAGAGTACGTGAGCTCTGCATCCACTGAGACCATGGACTGCAAAATGGGTTTCAATGCTTCATAGAATTCCCAATGTCTAGGGCGCCCTGACCCACTCCGCTTCAGTGCTGTATTGTACGCCTTGTATTCAGATAATAGCAGATTCATTTTATTCTGGCATGCGCTAGGAGAAAATTTCTTCCCTCTGAGAACCATTTGAGCTGAGATTTTCCAATAAAATTGGTTGTCTTTGTGGGCTTTATAATATTCATCCTTCATGTCATCCCAGACATCAATCAGGGAATAGATAGTAGCCGTGTCCATAACTGCTCCTAAACAGAATATTTTGAAAATGTTAGATATAATTCAAATTTAAAGGGAGAAAATAAGTGAACTTATTAGTGGTTAAAAGGTTAGACTAATATACCTTTTGTGAATGTGACCTTAGCCAACACATCCTCCTCCAGGGAGGGTTCTGCCTGGAAAGTAGGGCACTTGTCAGAGTCACCTCGCAGAAAGGCCATGTGCTTCGTAAAAAGCCCAGGTGAATTCCTGCGGTACTTCTCATCAAGTCTTCTCTTCTTACGGGAGCATTCGTCTGGTGTGACATGGACATTGTGGCTTTCTTTCAGATTTTCAGACACCTTATTCATATTTTCCACAGTAGCCTTAAAAGGCCTTGATGTATTTAAATTGATGCATTCTTGCAAAAAAGCCAGAGTTGCTCTATTGCTCTCCAATGATGTTTCTCTACAAAGAGTGAGTGGTCCAACAGTATCAGCATCCTAAAGAGTTATGGAAATCAGAGGATATATTAATACAAGAAAGAAACAAAAATTTAACAAGTCTAATAACAAATAGGAGTCTCAGTACCTCTTCATTCTCTACAAAAGAGTTAATCTGGTTAAAAACAGGCCAGACCTTCTGCACAGAATAATAAGAATGTTGTAAAGATAAATAAATGCGAATCCAAAAAAAAATGTATTATAACATGCTGATAACTTACCTTGGCAGACTTATTCAATTCATTTTGTTTCAAATCCAGAACATGCTCAAAACACAGCTTCTCTTTCCCGTTATACAACTCCTTAATGAGACAGGCACTGCCTGCATATTCAAGTTCTTTGAACTGGAACAAATAAAAATTTGGGGTGACCAAAGACTCAGCGTGAAGGCTACATACAGACCACAACACAATTCAACTGTACTTACAGTAACCTTGATGGTGCTTTCAGTGCTGTTGTACTCTGTAGCCTCCTCAACAACAACACAGCTGTCATCTAAAGATAAAAGTTTCGCCACTTCCTCAGTAATAAAATCCACAAAAGGCTCCTGACAAGACATTGGAAGAAACATGTAAATACTGAATATATTAGGATGTGAAGTACTTAACAGCTGCCCTCACCTTGTAGAATTTTTTAGGCAAGTTTGATACTAAAACAGTATTAGTAAATAATTGAGGCACAACTTCTTCAGTCAGCTGCTGAAAAGATAGCTGAACCTTATTGTTGTACTTTGTTTCAATTAGACAGGCACTGCCTGCATATTCAAGTTCTTTAAACTGGAACAAATAAAAATTTGGGGTGACCAAAGACTCAACCTGAAAGGATTACATACAGACCACAACACAATTCAACTCTACGTACAGTAACTTTGATTGTGCTCAATGCCATCTCCAAGAGGGTTGTCCAAAATGTCAATCCCATCATCATCGAGAGGTTTGCCCATGTCGTGAACTGGTACTTCAGTCACACTTTCAAACGAAAGTGAATGATTAAGAAATCTAAATGTTTTCAAGTACTCTAGTTTTGAGATCGTTCTGGCATCTTTAGTCTGTAATAAGCGCAGTGTTATTATTTGTTACTTCTGATAGGCCCAACATCACTGATTTTTCATCAACTCACCTCAATAATGGCAGATTTCGACTTTTTATCATGGGTCAACTTGTGGATAGGCCCAAAACTTTTTTTAAATTTTGTCTTGAATGTCAACTAGAAAGAAAGGTTCAATCAGGGAACTAAAAATAACGCTGAGAAATAGATAACGGTTTGTAACGAGCATTTACCTCCATGAAAGTAGTGGGAAGGCCGGAGACTTTGAACTTCTTGCACGATGACACATCTGACACATCCTCAAACTGCAGTTTTTTTGCTGGCGTAGATGTAGAGGCCCCGCACAGCGAAGGCTTGAAAGCCGACGCCTCCGGCGTTCTAATGTGACACGACTTTTTACTCGTTCTTTACCTCCACTCTCACTTCCCTCTTGGAGGTGGGAGAACGAGTATTGTGCTTGGTCTGGTGTAATTTAGACCCTCGATTCATCTCCGTAACCACAACACCTACAGTCATGGAAATCGTAATAAGGCGGACTTTAACCTACCAAAAATTTGAGGAACAACTGAAAATGTCATTGTTAATGATTTCCTGACTAACAATAACCTTTGTACACCATTTTATTGTATTGATATTGTGTATAAACTCTAAGTCGGGAAAAGTTTTTAAGTCGACGAAGTTGATGAAGCGCATGCGTGAAAAACGCCATCGACTAAAGAGCGAACTACAGCGGAGAGCGTGGCCGCAGCCGTAGTTCTACTTCACAATTTGTGGCGGGTGTTCAGTTCTGTTTGAATTTCTTGATAGATCTTGATAGAGATAGTCATTATTTCAACACTTTAACCTTTACACCAGATCTAAATTACACCATACCAAGCATATGTAAAGAACGAGGTTTCTCCATTTGTATCAAACATGTTTGATGCCCTGTTTTTCTTCTTGTTGTGCACTGGCGACGCATCCAACGGTTCCATTTTGATATTATCTTCTAGGTTTCGAACAAACTAACGATTTCCAGTAGCAGCGTTTGCAGCCAAAGTAGGGCCCCATTCGACTCAGATCAGGTTCGCCATGGTTTGCACTTGGGGTGGCGGAATGATACTTGCACGTATTTCACAACGGTAGCCTAGTTTGCTCCGGCC